GAGAGAGAGAGAGAGAGAGAGAGAGAGAGAGAGAGAGAGAGAGAGAGAGAGAGAGAGAGAGAGAGAGAGAGCATGGTCTTTTTTATTTCGAAGTTGCTTTTCCTGTCTTTTAGTTTTCGTTCTGTCTAGTTGCAGTTCTTCTTTTCCTTTGTCGAAGCTTTTCATTTTTTGGTTGTTCTTTTTCTTTTATGCCGACTTCTTTTGTGTTTGACTCGTGAAGTCCTTTGGCAATTCTATCTGTCTCGGGAGAAGTTGTTCTTTTGTGCTTGGATGAGAGAGAGAGAGAGAGAGAGAGAGAGAGAGAGAGAGAGAGGGTATGTGCGGACGACTCAGCCACATTTAACAGCACAACACCTCTTTTGTTTGGAAGTTACATTTATTTGTGCCCTCACAACACTGCGCATAGCTACGAGGGAGCTACATATACCGTTCCCATATGGTTAGCTAGCTAGCTAGGTACATGGGAGGAGCATGCGACCCGTAGTATGGAGTCCAATTTGTGGGGGACTTGTTATACGAAGGTTATTAATTAACGTTGCCCCAGTACCATGGGTGGACGAGTTAAGAAGCTCTTCTCAATATGAATGTGGTGTTCCTATTTCCTTTGCATCATTGACAAAATGTTGCGTCCTGCTTCCTGGGATGATGATGCTGACTGTGGGCATGCCTGGTTGCTGTCGAACTGATGGCCTCGGCTTCATTGGCTGTGAAGACGCGGAGCTGCAGGTGTTGAAGGTGGTCAGCTGCTTCCCAGTTAATCTGTGCGGAGGTAGAGAGGCCATTGACGAAGCTCATTCAGCAAGTACTGGGGATACTGAGCGAAGCTTGCTTCTGCGTCTCTTTCGCAGGCAACTGTCCAGCAAAGACGAAACTGCCGTTGTGAGCAGGAAGTGTGGTGATCAGGCAGGGACTGCTCAGTTAGATGCCTGGTCAACGCGGACAGAGATGGCGTTGTCCCACCTTATAGCAGTTACAATTGCATACAGCTGGGGAGACCTTGCTGCAGAGGATTGGGTGATTGTATGCAGACATTTAAGGAGGTGGTTAGAACTGGGAACTGTGAAGATGCAGAGTCTGGTGCAAGCTGTTGCCCGGGGTGTTCAAGAGGGCAAGGGAGGCCGAGATGATGCCATTGTACTTGCCGTGAACAAGGCTTGGGGTGCGGAGTTTGCGAAGTTGCCGATGATGTTGCTGCCACGAATGGGTTGCTGGGTCGTGTCAGTGATGCAAGCATTAGAGCAGAACCTGGATGTTATCGGTGATGGAAGCATTAGAGAAGAAACCGATATGGTGCCGATAGAGAGAAGGGAAAAGGTGACGAAATTGTTTGGTGACAAGTACTGCAAAGAAGCCAAGGAGGTTGGGAGACGAGATGCTGTTAGAATGTTGATGGTAGCGGGGGTGACTCAAGCTGCTTGTAATATGGGGGGACAGATGAAGTCGAGGAGGATAACCTCTCGCATGAGGGATGTTGGGTTTCTGAAAGCGATTGCGCAGGTTGCTGTTGATGTGGGAAATGAGAGTCTGCTTGCAGAGTTTGATGCTGTGGAGGAATGGCTCGATGGTTTGGGAGTGGGAGTGGATGTGATCGGTGGACTCTATGTGTTGATGACTTCAAGGTCTTTTCTGGGCCTTGTTCGGTGTCCATATGTATTGTGCCAGACAACGTTTTCATTGCTCTCAAGGGAGTGCTTGGCACCCTGTGCCCTCCTGTGTGATGAGGGATTGGTGACAGAAGAGTTTGAAGAAGAACTATTTCGGAAGAAAGTTATTCTTCGGGAGCAGGTCTCAGAAGCGCTGGAAATCGATCCTCACACCATTCTCATGTCAAGACTAACCTCGTCAACAAGGGTCAGTTCCAAAACCTCCCCAACCTGTGAATGAACCATGGTGTAATGACCTGCCAAACACGGACTGAGACACGTAGCCGGTTTCTGAGTTTTGCTCGTGGAATGTATGCCTTGCTGAGTTTCCCGCTTGTGGCTGAGTTTTCTAAGTCTGTGTGGGTGCGTGCTTGCTGGCCTGCATGTCTGTCTGAGTGCTTGTCGGCTTGAGTGTGTGTGTGACCTGCAAGGGCACTTGTTCAGAAGGCCTGAAGGGCCGATACTTAAGTGGCGGGGAAAGGGGACCGTGACACTTAAGAGCAGCAGAAAACAGGCCGGTACCACACCAAGTAGAGGTAGATGTGACGGGTACTCGAGGCCGAGCAGAACAAGACATAAGTTGGCATTTCTAGAGGCCCAGACGTTGTAGGCTAGGTCTAGGCGGGTACCAGTCCAACCAATCTGAGTCTAGGGCCTGTACAGGCAATATCAGAGTCTGCAATGATGTTTCCCTCCGAAAGCGAGGAGGTACCGGTTGCTTGGAGGCCGCACCTCCTAGGAAGTCACTCGCCAAGAGGCAAGCAGGCCGCTATATCTCCAGGAGGAGCTCTTTGCTCCTCCTCATTGTTGGTGTGCAAGTTTGGCGAAACACTGGCTGGACTGCTGGCTGGAGCAGTGCTAGCACTCAGCGCAGCGCTGCTGGGGAAGGAGCAAGGACCGAGAGAGGAGGACGAGGGAGAGGAAGAGGGAGAGCGCCAGAGGTACTTACCTGGCTATGGTGGTTGCCATCTTCATCACCTTGGTGGGCGCTGCAGCAGGATGGCCCCAGTTGGGGTAAAGCTACACCAAGAAGCTTCGAGGCAGAGTCAGGCATGGCGGCCTGAGCTAGAGCAGCCATAACTGCTTTGTGTTGTCCTTTGCACAGCAGGGGATGCCCTTGTAGTCGGGCATAGCCTCGGCCTTGGAGGAAGGAGGAAGAAGGGTGGCCATAGCTATGGTGGACCTCATGTGATACCTGCAGTAGAAGAGGGATTTGGACATTGATTCTTGTTCAGCCATTCGACATTATTATTATTATTTTTTGTTTGAATAAGAGGGGAGGAGATAAGGAGGAGGAGAGTGTTGTTGAAGAAGGGAATTCTCATTGGTACTTGCTGGTGTACATCTTCTTCTTCTTCTTTCTTCCATCTTCTTCTTCTTCTTCTTCTTCTTCTTCTTCTTCTTCTTCTTTCCCTCTCTCTCCTTTCAAGTTCATTCATTTCTTTTTGCAATTGGAGGGAATTGTACTTTCTGATGAATGTGTACTTCAAAATTGGCCAGGATCATAGCATTGGTATCAGAGGGGATTCTACTTGCTGGTGAGAGTTGACTTATCCACCCTAACCCTAAGTGGTTAGGGCTGACCACTTAGGGTGAGGGTTGGTCCGAAGTGGGAAGTTTTGCAGCGTGGATCGGGGAAGCTGCCCCCACCTGGCTAGGTCGTGTTGGGTCGGCACTTAACCTGACCAGGTTGATTGAGAGTGAGCTTGTGGTGGCAAGACACATCAAGAGGACTTCATGCAACAATTTAAGAGAGGCGACAGTGAGAGGCACTTCCACCTAGAATCTGACACTTAGTGACTTAAGGGCCTCCCCCAAGTAGGCGATCTTGAGGGAGGTAGCCATTGTTCGTCTACGGACTGCAAGTTGCTACTTCGTTCTTCAGCATTGGGGGGGGATCCGGCGTTGCACTTTCAGACCCTCCTACATGACAAGACACTAGTTTAGAGGTAGCGGATAGGGTTAGGAGGACCGTATGAGGAAGGGGGTGAGGTATACTTCATCTCAGAGTCCAGGCCACTCAGGTAAGTGCCGTACACCTAAGGGTTGCCCACATGTGTGTGCATGGTATTGTCTGTCCTGTTGGGGTACTTCCTCTGAAGTCTTGGTTGTGTGCATTGGTGTGCAAACTGCTTACTGACCTGATGGATGGAGAGATGAAGTATCTTGCTTTGAATGCCATATCTTTTTATAGTGATTTGTCTTTTCATTCTGAATGGACTCAAAACTGTTGACACGGTGTCGCTCTCTTTTCTGTTTGGAATTTGTTGCTTTTCTTTGTTATTAGAGCACTCGCTGCCGAGGGGATCTTGGCTACGATGTTTTGCGAACTGATGACGCACAATCCGATGCTTGACCTGCACCTTATACACCACTCAATTCTCCATTGCTGTATGTTGTTACTTGTAGTCTTATATGCTGTACTTCGACGCTGTCGATCGATTAGGCTTGAGGGGATCTCGTACTTGGTCTGACCGGACTAAAATGTGGAGTCCAAAACCTCTTTTGAATCTTTGTTTTGTTTATTTGGTTGCTCTCCAGTCCAAATATTTTGCCGCTCCAGCTAGGAGTTCTATCTTGGCTTATTGTGCTTTCAGTTTGCTTTTTTTACTGAAGTCCATTTTATGCCTGTCACGGCGCGTGGACAAGAGAGAAAAAAGAGAGAGGCCATGACAACGGAAGGATCTAGTAGTTCCAACATGGCACCAGCCAATCTTTCTGAGATCCTAAAGGCTCAAGTGGATGTAGCGGATGACGAGGATAAACCAGTGTACCAGGCCCTCTACCAGAAGGAAATGGCCAAGGAGGAGGAGGAAGAGGCTAAGCGGAAAGCAGCGGCTGAAGGTCTTGAGGCCATCTTCAAAACAGTCTCAACCATGTCTGATGTAGATGTCAAGAAAGATCTGGTCAAGCATGTACGTGCCCTCATAGATTGCCATTTGCTCAGCGAGCTTCCGAGTATAAAGTCCGAAATGAGTCAGCTGCGTACTCAGATGGCAGCTATGGACAAGGAGCATCACGATCGGATACAACCGATGGCAATCATGCATCAGGCCCGAATCTCAAGCCCTCTTCTCCTACCTTTTGTTGCTAACCGTTCTACCTTTTTACCTCTCCATAATTCTTCCTCTTCTTATTCTTCTTCGTAGAGTTTGGTGGCAAGTCTTTCAGGACCTGCAACAGGTGCAGATTCGGTTGCCGCTACAAGTGACCGTGCAGGAAATTCTGCAACTGCTGCAGCCTTGATATCAGACCCAGCAGTGGCTGGTCCTAGCTATATCAGTCCATACATGGACAAAAAGGCGGTGATGATATGATGGCAAGGAAGATGTTGGGTCAGGGATGCTTTGAGGTATAGGGCACCCAAAGAGTGAACCACTCCTTGATCCTAGGGACAAACGTCGAGGCTGTCGTAAGGGGCTTCCTAAAAGTCCAAGCTATGCAAGCTGGGTATCCAAAGATCGATGTAATGGAGTGGCTTATTGTCATCCCAGCTGCCGCTCTCGAAAAGATTCTAGTTGCGCACTACAAGGACCCACTTGCTACAACTAGAGTAAGGATCCAACTCGTCGATCTTAAGTGCAGCAAGTCACAGGGCAGCATGCACAAATTGCAATTGTGTGTCAGCAAACTCTTTGCGACACCAGGATTGGAACTGACAATGCAATCGTGCTTGGATGTTGTCAAAGGTACGGTTCCCACCACTTTCACAAATCGCCTATTGGTTATATTGACTGGTTTTCCTTGATGAAGGATGTAGTCAATATCGAGGCAGCAACCTTCCCACAACAAACAGTAAAAAGACCTTTGTCCGCGGACAGTTTCGTGGCAGCAACCGTCTTGCTGTGGAGCAAGAACAGGATGCTGATACATCCTACTCTTCAACTCAAAAATCTGAGATCAATAATGAAGAGGAAAAAATCAATTTCTTCAAAAATACTGCCCATGTTAAGGGAAAGCAAAACGGGAACTTAGTAAGGAACTTTGTCACACTCCCTAAGGGAGCCAAAATCCCAGCCAATTCGGAGGACGCAAGTCCTAAACCTTGGATTGACCTCCAGATCATTGAGGTTGAATGGAAGGCTAGATTAAACCACCACTATCCCCGCCGTCATAAATTAGGGGGAACTGGTAGCACAGGTCCATGAGGGCTACCGGTAGCACAGTGGGGGGGAACTGGCGGAGTGGCAAAAGTCGAATTACCCCCACGATTTATTTCGCGGTTTAAATGATTTAAAAAAAATATATATTTTTCCTGTAAAGATCACGACAAAATCTACGGACCCTCCAATTTTCAGAGTTGTTGGGTTATTCTGCTGATCACAAAAAATCGCGAAAGTTGGGTTACATTTCCCGTTGGCCCATACATGGTAGAGTAGCATAAATGGAAAATGTGACGAAACGGCCCGACACTTACTTCATCGTCTAAATGTTTTTTTTTTTTTTTTTTTTTTTTTTTCCTGGAAAGATCACGACCCAATCTACAAGATATCAAATTTTCAGATTTTTTTGCTAATGTTTTTTAGCGCGAAAAATTGCCAAAGTTCGTGCTTGGAAATTTTTGGACCGGACCCGCCTGTGCCTCCCGGTCGCCGCCCCCCCTAAGAACCCGGTCCGTAAGGCTAGGAAAGTCCATCTTAGGCCGGCGGGGGTAGTGGTGGTTTAAAGAAAGGAGGTTGTTTGCATTGCCATAAAACTAATCATAAGGTCCAAGGCTGCTTTATGCTGTAGGGAAAGTTGAATCAGGTGTAGAGGGTTCATCTACACACTTTACAGCAAGGGAGTCTGAATCGGTCAATGATAGTTCTGCCAAGGAACATGTCACTATCCAGCAGTCTTCCATTGAAGCCCCAACTTCCGCTGATTCTGAGGCTAATGCTTGTCATGTTTTGTATGTTGAGCCTTAGGAGGAGTCTGAGAAGGTCGACTTTCACTATCACCTAGAGCATTGGGTTGAGATGAAACAACAACGTGCTCAAGGGACAACGAAGTTAATCTTCTTCGAACTTCTCATTAACCATCGCTATCTTCGTGTCTTGATTGATTGTGGTGCCACAACTAACTTTATGTTACCATACGGGATACGCAAAGTGGGCTTGGGGATGAAGTAAGTGGCTTTGCATAGCCCTTGCCGGACTCAAGTAGGTAACAAAGAAGTTGCCACATCCACTCATTTAGTCAAAGGTGTGCGCATTACGTTTGACAAGG